TGCATTAAATAAACGGCCCGCTAAAAATAAATTTGAAACAAGATCAACAAAATGTATTTTTATTGGATATTCCGATGAATCAAAAGCGTTTCGACTATGGGATCCAAGTAAAAGAAAAATCATAATAAGTGGAGATGTTTCTTTCTTAAGAAATGTTGATGAAATTAAAAATAAACTTGAACAATTTAAATATGAACTAACAAGTCAAGAACTTAACGAAGAAATCACAGAAGAGATTGGAAGATTGGGAGATGAGGAAGATGATGATGGTGAAAGCATGAATCAAAATGAAAATTGTGTTCAAGATAGATCTGTAGTCAAGAGGGGGCGAGGAAGGCCAAACATAAAGCGAACAGGAAATGTTGGCAGACCAAGGAAAATTTATAAGACTGTCCCAATTGATCAAGAAACGGTACAATTAGTCAATGATAATTCGACTGAGTCAATAGATGAATTATTATCTGGACCTCATGCAGAAAAATGGAATTCACTATATGCCCACAAATGAGATGCCAGCCGATGTTCTAACGAAAAGCTTGGGCAAGCCAAAGTCATAGTGCTCACCTAGAGACCATTGGTTTGACGAGCATTCGAATTCTGTTGAGAGGGGGGGAGGGGGGGGGTCGAAAATGACAACGTGAGTTCGTGCTCGCCATTTGTATGCAAATGCGTTAGTTACTATAAGAAATAGTAACTAGAGGATGGTCCTAGTTACAATCGATAGATTTAATCGACAGGCTTAAGATGCCTTTTTGTTTTTATCTCCAGTTTTTTGTAAACGCGTGCAGGGAAGGTTTTTTGGCTCACAACGGTGTGATATTATTTTACTGAATGGATAAATCTAACTATTGTGATCCCACCTCTTCTTTTCTCTTTTGTCCTTCTTTTTTTTTTAACTTTCTTCTCTGAGCTATGATATGGAATACACCTCACAAGAAATAATACAATAATATTCTAAATTATTATCTTCATTATCACTTTCATCTCTTTTTTGACGAATCTTCCGTTTAATTTGGCTTCCATGCTTCCTTCCCTCTGTCCCTCTTCCTTCTTTTTTCCTTGTGTTCTTTATTTGCACTACAGAGATTAGATTCCCTGTTTGAGGTCCGTTTTCCTTTTCGACATTCTGATAGTTGGTTCTTGGTTCTCAACTAATTGAAGTTTTAGCCCTAGTCTTCCAAACCTGAAATGTGATCAGCTCATTTTCCGGAAGCTCAGTGCATCTATCGGCCATCTTAGGACCAAAACACTTCTCCCGCAAGTCCAAGCCAACGATAGACGACGGAGGGAAACGTCCCCTTCCGTGGGTTTTATACATCAACCAATGCCCAATGTACCAATGTCCAGGACATGCTGATCATATTAAATCGTGGAATAAATCCAGTTTTCTGATACATCTAAATGCCTAAAAATGAGATCCTTGGTTGGATCCGCCATATCCAAAGGCCACCGATCTATTAGGTTCGGTACCCTCCTGCGGTTCGTTCCGAATGAATTAGACTTTTAGGAATGTTTCACTTCATGAAACCAGGAGAGTATTTATCTTTTTGGAATTCAAGTCAAGCGTTCATGTAGTATCGCTTATGTTCTTGCATTCACGTATCGTATTATAGGAAGCCATCAACAGCAAAATATCTCAATAGACGTTACCGCATTATGCTTCACAGACTGCTGAGGGAAGGAACAGGAAAAAGAAAAATCGATATTGTTAATATTAAATCGGCTGAATTTGCAATTTCCAAACTTTTCGGCAGTAAGTCATTCTTCAAAGTTTTACCGCATTTCTCATATTCCAGTCGTCTATCTCATCGAGTCTCCCTTTTAACATTTAAAAGTCGACGGCCACGTTCGAATATCTGCGATACTATCTACTTAAATTGGACTCGGTAGTTTTCAACTTTCGCTTTGACCACCGAAAGAGTTCAAATCTTAACGTGTACAAAATTCCAAAAACCACCAATGAGATTGTTACAGCAATGATAATGTTACTGCACAAAAGCATCCGCTCAAAGTATACGCATTTACTTGGCTCTACTGCATCGCCGTTCTCGATTTTTGTACTTAGCAGGAGAATAAGACGAAGAAGGAGAGGTAGCGGTTGAGAAGGAAATGAAGAAACGAAGGGCAGAAGGAGAAAGGAAGAAAAGGCCGCAGGCGATACCCGGATGCTAAGACAGGACAGGGACAATCGGCTGAAATGCCACTCTGCTAGAACACAACTATATGTTAGCAGCTACGCTTCCTCGTAACCTCCGTTGATAACGATGCTACAGGATCAGTGCATAAAGACATTTTATAGAAAGATTTACTAGGTACTGTCGAAAATATAAGAGAGCATTGTATTTCAACACGATTAAGACTCCAAACATACCACTAAAAGTATAAAGAATTGACTAGACACACAAGTACGTAAATACATTCTTTGATTCTCTACCGTTATCCGTCATTGAATTATATAAGAGAATAAATGAACAATGGGATAGAATCCATCCCTATCATTACAGAAAATTAAAGGGCCCACTGCAAGAGAGAGCTATGCCACAACAGTTTTATTCCTGCTTGCACTATGAACATGTCTATAAATGATTGTTTCCCTTACATATTACAATTTTTGTACACAGAGAATTTTCATAATCGTTGCATACACGCCCAACTGCGAAACTGAAGGATATAACTTGCATACTGTTGTTTATTTCGTCTGTGTACCATAAAGTTTAAAAGAAATATAAATGAGAAAATAGTGATGAAGAAAAAGACGTGTGAGATTAAATGCTTGTGCGTGCTTTCCATAGTTTATTTAGAAAATTATTATTCGTAGATATCAATGCAAATAAAATGTACAAAAATGTTTTGTCATGTAAGATAGTCCTAAAAACATTGCATTATGAGAACATAAAGTTTTATAAAGCTTTTTCTTTCATCCCATTTTCAGGCTCAAACGCGCAAAAGAGTAAATTAATATTAAATTATTTTCCAAGATATACCAGTATACCAGTATATTAACACATTGTTGACCGGTCACGAGTTAACTCGTGTTTTCGTGGCCAAACGTAGCCGCCGATCGGCCACGAGTAAACTCGTGATCCGCTTTTTTCCGCATCAGCGTCGTTTTCTCAGTGCGCTGTTGGAGATCATACAGTGCAATTGTTGGTCCTCAAGCTGTGTCTTTCGCTTATAAGACCCGTCAAGTTGCGTTCTTTGTTATAAAAAAAAAAAATTCAACGATGACGGAACGTACTTATCTGATTGTCCGAGTGACTGTGAATCAAATTGTGGTGACTTGGAAAATGATACTGTATCAGAAGATAGTGAATCTGATAATAGACCGCCAAAATATCATTAAACCTACGCGCATATTACAATACAATAAGCACATGAAAGGGGTAGATCGTGCAGATCAGTATTTGGCGAACAGCGGTATTTTACCCAAAAACTTTAAAGTGGTCCAAAAAATTGGCATTTTTTTGATAAACTGCACCTTGTTCAATGCATATAAAATGTACTGTACTGGAAGTAGCTAGAGAATGGATAACTGTGGATTTCAAAGAATGCAGCATTGCACCTGATACTTCTTGAATTTCTAAAATCGGTATAATGATCCATCCTTCAGCCATTGCGGACAACTAAGAGACCACGTTTTAGAAAAAATAGTCACTAGCAGAAAAACAAATCCGACTAGAGCGTGTAGAGTATGCTCTTCAAAAGGAAAACGCAGTGAAACTAGATATATTTGCAAAATCTGTTGTGCACCATTACACGTAGGTGATTGTTACACTGTTTATCATATGAAAAAGAAATATTAAAAGTTGAATAATAGATAAAATTTACTAAAGTTTATTTATATTGTTTTACTTCCACATCCAATTATGGAATAATAGCCGGTGACACGAGATAAATTCTCAGTAAGATTGCCAGTCAACAATGTGTTAATAGATTTAAATAATAAAAATAGCAGTCTTAATAAAACAATTTCTCCTGAAACATCGCATTTTGTAAAATGCTTAATATTTTAAAATACCAACAAAACGTAGAAGTCCCACTTGTGATAAGTCCTTCACTTAATAGAAATCAACAAACTAAAGGACTGTGGACAGAACAATAGAAACATTTCAAAGTTAAAAAGTTATACTGTTAAAAATATTGTGCAAAACCGAATCAATGAATACTTTTTGTTACATATGAATAAAAATGGATTCAAAATTTATGAAAATTATTTATGTTAACTTAACCTCTACAAAACGTTATTGTTATGCTTTCTTCTTATATACGTGACTGTCTATGATATTAAATAAAGATTTATACGAAACCTTTGATTATTGGTTCAGTTTTTCTTTTCACTATAAACACATCGTGGCACGAGCATATAATATAATCCTGACCGTAGATAAACATAAAGCAAAGCACATTGTGGTTCCTATTACTATTTCCATGACATTTATTTTTTCCGCCAAGCACACTTTTTATGAACAGATTATAAAATTCGCAATTTATAAATATCAACTGAATTTCCGAAAGACGTGAATTAAAAAAGTGTTACTGTTAATTTTTTATTATTTTATTAAATAATATGAATATTCATACTTTTAACTGTTAATTTTTCTATTAATCCAACATAGGATGCAACAGTTTATTATAATATTAGTATAAGAAATAAGTAAATATATTTTTGCATTTTGAATTTTTTTTATTTCTATTGTACTCTCTTATCATTATTGTATGAAAATCATAAGTATCATAATGGAAATTTTCAAGTTAACCACGACCGAGAGAAGCATGCCACTGAGATCAACCGTTCAAGTCCTCCTCACAGTTTTTTTTTCTATTACCGTGGTATTGTGTTTCATAAATTTTTATCACAATATGTTACGATCCATAGAGAATACTATTTGAACGTTTCGATAACTTGTAGAAATTGTACTACTATAACACATCAGCTCATGCGTCACTACTGACTCGGGAGTTTCTCGCAAAATATAACATTTACAGTCACCATATTCACCTGATCGCTCCCTTGCGATTATTTGTTATTCTCCAGAATAAAAAAATAAAACAAAAATAGTTATGTGAACTATGCACTATAGAAGAAAGTATTTTTAGAAATATGTTAATGATTGGAAGACACGCTGGCAAAAAAATATTATATTCAAAGGGAATAACTTAAATATAGACGAACAAGTAAATATTTTCTCAAATAAGAGAAAGATTCAACGATCTTTTTAATCACGACTCGTATGAGGGAGAGAAAAGAAAAAGAGGGAAGTAAAAAATGATATGCAGCTGAGTAAAGGTACAGAAGAAAAGCCTACGGAAATTGTGAAAGGAAAATGTCTGTGATCAAATGTGATGATTAAGAAAAGAGTGAGATATGAAGCATGTTATATAAAATATACTTTATACATTCTATTTTGGTTCATGTATATAATATAAAAAGTGTATATGTAATACAAAACGAGTGTAGAATATACGTACTAATGTTTAATCAGAGTTTCTGTAATTTTGATAGTTTTGTATCTTTTTATTCTCATATTTTTATAATTTCTATATTTCTGTATTTTGTACTTTTAAACGTTTTCTATAATTCTATATTCAAGTAATGGTATAAAAAAAGGATACGAATAGTGTGGAATGGCAACGCACGTAACGCGATACGTGAATGTTACGCGTGCGCCACATAACCAGGGGAGGTTGTATAGAAATCAACAGTTCGTTGGACAAAGAGAACATTTTTTAGGAATACGTTATGTTTATGTAAACTATATACGAAAGAATTCCAAAAAAGAAATAAATAAAATCGGGTAACTAATTAGTTACCCGAAGAAAAAAAGGAAAACATTCGCTAAACGAAATGGCGCGATCAACCTGAGAATCCAAGATTGCGACGATTGGCGTTAACAGTTGGGATGCACGACACAAACAATTTCAAATAGAAGTTTGACCGCCAGCCGCGACAAGACCACGGTGATTTTTACTCTTTTCTATACGCAGGCAGCGCGTAATAAATAGAGATCTCACTCCGCAGGTCCGATGTTTTTAATTATATTTTTAATACAGCACTTATCGTATCGAGCAGCATTCATTGGTAAAGACATGCGATACATCATTTAAATCCGTCATAATAAAAAGGAGGACGCATGATTACATACATTTCATAACAAAGATAATAAAAAAAGACTCACCATACCAACGTAAGAGAAGATTTATGATTTACCTTACAAGAGAATAGGTTTAGTTGAATAACACAAAATCCATGCATAAGATTCTGGAGATCCAAAGATTTTGAGCACCCTAAGAAATTAAAGCAAGTTAGATAAATGCAAAAATTAAAATTGAAACATGATTATGTTCTAAGAGTATCGTATTGAATTATATATTTAATGCATACAACTAAGTTAAGATGTTACAATATTTTGTCATTATTTGTTTAAATTTCATCAAATGCTTTTAAATAAGAAAATTTTGATAAAAACAAGTAACTCACAGCGTTAAAATAAAAAATTGCATTATCTTTATAGCGTAATTTATTGATAGGTTATAAATGAATTTATAGCTATAATATTCAGAATTTCGCAAAATATTCTCAGGATATATCTTCTTTCACTTCCTAAAACTTTTTAATGGATTGTTATCCAACATACATGATTAAAGCACACTCTTCTGTTAATCATTGATCAATCAAATTGGCCCTGTTCTTAAAATCTTAACGAATTCCATAATCAATGTCTCACAATATATAGAAAAAAATAATTTTAAAGCGATCTGATCTATATAAAAAAAGAACATTGTCAAGTTTAACATTGCAATGTTGTAATACTTTTACATTTATAAAAGAAACGTTGACATGTTTAAACAAAATAAACCATCAGCGCTTCGCATATTTTGGATTATTAAAACATAATTTCACTTGATACAACTCTTGGCGGGTCAAAAGTTCTTAAAATTAATGAAAGTGTACATTATTGTACATTTAATAATAACAATAAGTATACATATAAGTTATGACAAAAAGTAGAAGAGCAAACAAAGGTTCAATACTTCAATACTTGCTTATCATATATTAATGTTAATTACGAATAAAGATGAGTTTTAACATATATTAATGCATTGAAAAACTATCGTTTGTATATATAACTATGTACTATAAAATCTATGTATCAATATTAGTGATTTTCTGCCTGTTACTTCATATTTAATACAGTTTTATATCTATACTCACAATTTAATTTATGAAATGTAACAGTGACATATGAGCAATATGGATATAATTAACTCTTGTTGGAATACATTTGAAACAATCATGGCAGTTCGATCTTCCGATTCCATAAGAATCTGTAAATACATTTATACATGGGTGCCACCCATTATTTATTCTGCAACATAAACAAATTGATATTGTAATTTTATTGCAAAACTTTACAAGACCATGATATAAGAAGATCATATAAACATATATATACATATTTGCAAATATATACAATTTTCATATACTCCTGAAATCTAATCCATACCGCTTTATGGCTTTCAGCATTGTTTGAACATATTTCATGCTAATATAATATTTACATCGGGATGCCCTATCATTTTTTTATAGATAAGAAATTTTATTGTTGTTATACAATACGATGAAACGTGGTAAAAAGGTAGTACGATAATATGGCAAATTTGTAACTTTTAATTAAAAAAGGAGGAGAAAGAAAATGTTTTACATTTAAAAATGAACCTTTGAAACCCATTATCTTGCATCAATAAGGATAGAAATTAAACAAATTTCGTATATCGCATCGCAACTCAACTATGAAAATTGGAAAATTAATCGTTATCGATCGTCATGTAGGCCCATACCAATAATCACAAATAGGTATTTTATTCCTTAATTTTCTTCGGTTCTGTACATATTCCTAGGTAGTCGTGTATTAATATTAGATAGAAAGGTACGAAACTATCTACACAGTTAATAAAAATATGATTGAATTAAGAACATAAATTCCGTATTTTATAATACATACTACACGTTTATTTGTCTTATACGTACGTCTAGATCTACGATCTCTTCCATTTATCTTTGATACATATGGTTTGATATATTTGATATACAGCAATAATTAGGTTAAATTATATAAAACATATCCGTTTCATATTAGAATAACTTAAGCAAAATCTTTAATTGTATAAGCACATTAAAATATTTACCTTAAATAAATCAATGATCGATCACGTGTTACATCTTTTGTATTTATACATTTTCTTCTATCAAAATTTAACAAATTAACTTTGTAACTTTTTGTTTAGCATTCATTACTAACTGATATATATCCACATTGTAGGCATCCTTCAACACGATGCACATCTGACCACGTGCGAATCCACAGAACGACTGTGCGGTGCCTCGTGTCGGTTAACCGTTATTATTTCGAATTGCTCACAGCACTGCTTCTTGATTGGCTACAATTCAGCAGTACAACATGGTACCTGCGCACATCCTTCCGCGAATATATAAAAATATAAACGTATAATATTTGTACTTTAAGATTGATTAAATAGATGTGTAAGTACGATTTTAACAAGATCTTGTTAATTAATATTTTAATGTAATCTTATATTACAAATAATATAGAGTTGTGTGTGTGTAAACATATTAGATTTATAATTGTTAAACAACGGTATATGCTTAGCATAAAGCTAAGAAAATTTCTAACTCGCTCTAGAATATTACGATCGTAAAAATCACAAATCTAGCAAAAAGATTTCCGGGATATCTGGAATTATAATAGATTGAAACATTATATAAATTCTTTTCCCCTTGGAATGGGTGCTCATTCTTGACCACTGGTCAATTTCATGTTTGACTATAATAATACAATTGTTTTTGTCATAAACCGACATTTAATATATATTAGCACAGTTTTAAGTAAAAAAACTAGTACTACAGAAGTAAATTTAAATTTATTTCGTAAAATATATCGAAATTATAGAAACGATTATTGTAATGAATTGAGATGGATATTAAACGTGTTGGCATGTTTAATAAAGAGACGAGTGATAAAATCGTAATAGTTAATTATATTAATATCAATGTAAGTACAAGTACAGAGATAGTGTATGCCGGTCGTAATCGTCGCTCGCTCAATGCTACTATTCAACTCTCTAACTGTTTTTAGCAGCACTCGACAACAAATCTTTCCAACGGTTTCGTCGATACAAGTATATCATCGAAGCGTAAATGCCGACAGGCCTAATGAGCCATCGATATCCCTACGGTTCTTCTGCCGAATGTTTGGAAGAAGGCGTACGTGCCAAATGGTCGCGAACGCCTAACGAACGCATGCGTAGTGGGGATATTGAGGGGCGACAAAAAGAAACGAGTCGGATCAAGAAAACAGCGGAGTTGTAATCGAGAAGTGAGAGTCATCAGTTGGAATCGAGAGTTGTATGTAAAGAGTCGTTTCTTTAGCACCCTACACATCCTACGCCAATTCACCTCATATTCAACTATTCGACTATATGACTCTCCTAGAGAGCACGTTCGTCTATTTGTATCGACAGATGTTATTATAAAAAGTTCAAATGTAACTCCGGTTGGAGATTATAAATAACGGCAATAATATTTTGTCCGGAGTTCGTTTACCTTTACACCTAGCAAACCAAAACAAAGTTGGTATTACAAAGCATAATAATACGAGTCTCTGCCGATTCAAATCTTCCATTGACTCATGTGTCATTACGGAATTATTGTAATGAATTGGAGGTATCAGTTTACAACAGCAATTAAAAAATTATTAAATTTTATTGTATTTTGTATTGTACTTGTACACAAGGAACATCCTACTCGCGCGTAAACTCATTTTTTCTTGAATCACCGCACCATGATAATCGGAAAAGAACTTTCACTTAGTTATTAATAATTTAATTATTAATTTATAACAATTAATGTAATAATATATTACGTTATAATATAATAATGTAATATAATAATGCAGGCCCATAGATGATTGAAGTTAGAACTCAGCTTGAATGCCGAGATTTATGTGTAATATTAAGTGACATATGAGCGGGTCTTGTTCGTAGTCACCTCGTCATTTTGATACACGGTAATTGGCATAATTTTTCTAAAATAAATCTTTATATTGTTTTCGCAGGGACATCGTAAGGTACGTGTACT